CAGGGTTTCATACTTGCTAGGCAGGTGCGTTACCAACTTGAGCCACTCCTCTAGCCCAGTAAGAGAGTTTTCAGGAATACAAAGTCAGTACTTAAAAATCCATTGTGTTTCTATGTACCAGCAGCAAACAAACACTTGAAAATGTTCACATACAACTGGTGGGAGTGTAGATTGGTATAACTGTCTTGGAAAACTGGCAGTGTCTACCGATGCTGAGCACGTTCTTACCCTGTGGTCAAATACTTCTCTTCTAGGTATGCATTTAGAAAGAGCACAGGCACTGTATACCAAAAATGTTTGTGGCTGCCTTATTCGTATGAGCAAATAACTAAAAACTCCAGATATCCATCAACGGTAAAATGAGTTAATAAATTGTGACATATTCAGACAGAGAATATGATACAGCAATCAATAACTTACATACATGTGAAGGGAGGAAACTCACAAACATAAATGCAGCCTAACACAAAAAATACCTACTTTATGATCTCACTTATATAAAGCTACCTTTAGGGAAGTAGAAGGTGTTATTATGGGGGCTGCAAAGGTCCTGGTGATACTGTCTTGTGTGTGTGTGAGTATGGTACTGGAGATTGGCCTTGCATATGCTAGCTAAGCACTCTACCACTTGAGTCATACCCTCAGCCCTTTTGTGTTTGGTTTTGAGATAGGGTGCTGCTAACTTCCATGGACTGGCCTTTGACTAGTGATCCTCCTGCCTCTTCCTCCCAAGCAGCTGCTATTATAAGCATGAACCACCATGCCCAGCCCATGATGTTCTGTGTCTAGATTGAGCTGGACATTTATGATTTATGTGCTTTTTGTTGGGGATTTTGGAGCCATGAGTTGATAAAAGAATTTATCAAGAAGAGAGAGTAGAAGTGAAGATTTATTAGAACTGCTAAGGAAAGCAGTAACCAGCTGAGCAACAAGGGAGTGCCGCCATGCTGAGATGAAGGTTGGTTCAGACTTTTATAGAATCACCTGGGTTTTTACTAATTGGTTATTTCTTTCTTGTAAGCCTTGTTGATTAGTTGTTTTTTCCTCAGAACATGGTTTGACTCTAACTGAACATTTCCTGGGCTCAGTTTTTACTTCCTCATACCAGCATTTTCCTCTTGGCCCTTACTTCCTCATCCTGCCAGGCTGTTAGTATTTTGTTCCCATCATGCACACATGGGCACCCAGCAGATTACTTTTTTAATTTGGAAAAGAATTAAGTAAAAGGTCTTAGTCTATCAAAATATTTTATTTTCTAGAACAAGAAAAAGTCTAAACCACTTTTTTCTTTTTTATTGATACTTATTAAAAATGTGTAAAACGTCTATGTGCAGTTGCTTATACCTGTAATGCCAGCTACTTGGGAGACAGAGAGTGGAAAGACCTCAGTTCAAGTCCAGCTATGGGAAAAAGTTAATGAGAACTTCATCCCAATAAGTTGGATGTAGTGATGTACCACTTTTGTGGTCTCAGCTGTGGGGAGGCATAGATGGGAAGATTGTGTTCCGATGCCAGCCCCAGGCAAAAACTCTAGACCCTACCTAAAAAAAATGACTAAAACCAAAAAGGTCTGTGAGTATGGCTAGAGATCCTGCCTGGCAAGCTCAAGGCCCTGAGTTCAAAAGCATGTAAAACCCATCTGTTGAATATTACCAAGAACAATTCTAATAATTTTGACCCTCAAATTCCTATTTAATAGTGACTTAGATAAAAAATAAAAATTTGGGCTGGTGGAGTGGCTTAAGTGTCAGAGCGCCCATCTAGAAAGTGTGAGGCCCTGAGTTCAAACCCTAGTACCACTAAAAGCAAAAAATAAAAATTTAATTTACATGGTTGTGTTTTTTCTCCCAAATCTTTTTCCCAATTTTCTACAGTAAACAGTATTACTTTTTAAATAAAATATATTTAAGGTAGACAGATCTTCAATTTCTTACATAATATGTTGTGGGTTTAAAGGATTTTCTCCACAATGTTTTGGGTTTTTTTTTGTTGTTGTTGTTGTTCAAACTGGGAATGGTGTACGAGCTATGGAAAGTCATTTTATGAGATTGCTATGTTTTCTAGTAGTGTTACTCAGGATTGCTAAAAATATACACAATAGATTTGAGGACATTGTAAATTACAATCATTCATTAAGTCATACATTTTTTCTTTCCAAAATAAAAGATCTTTGACTCATGAGTGTGCTCACAAGAGTGTGTTAACCTCCCTTCTTTTCTTCCCCAAATTTCCTAATTGAGTTTTAAAATTATATTTGTCTTTTGTATACATAAATATACAAACTATTTTAAAATAAATTTCATTTGGTGACTGATTAGTGTAATGGCATTAGAATTGGACGTTGGTCTCATAAATATACCTGGAAATTAGGAAATTACTTAGAATCATGCCTTTTAGAATTACTCTCAACTTGGAAATGACATCGATTTCATTTTCTTCCACCCTCTACACAGTGCTTCAAAGAATCTAGGCTAAGTGAATAAAATCCAAAAATCCAAGGTTTATTTTTCTTTAAAAATATAAACTGGCTGTTAGTATTTTTCAGACAATTAAGAGCTCACATCTAAGGGCTTTGGTTGTAGTTCTCTTGCTGCTGATTAGGTATTCCTCAGTGGTGATTAGTGAATGTACAAATGCAATCACTTGGTACGGCTTAATCACTCATATGTTTGAGAAGTTACTTACCCAGAAAGAGAAATTGAAGCTTGTATAACTTACATTAGCCTTACTTTTAATAGCAAAAAAAAAAAAAGAAAAGAAAAAGAAGAAGAAATTATGACTAAATTAGGAATATTGGGTCATAAAAGATAAATTGTAGTTTAAAAGAAATAGAGAACCTGGGCAAATACATTTCTATGGATACATATTAAGTTGTCTGCAGTAGAGGTAGAATATGAATAATTGACTCTTGCTTACTGCCCAGGCAGTGTCCCTCAGAGACATGGACTGAGACTTGTTCCCTAAGCACATACATTTTCTTCTTCCTTTGAGCTGTGTGGCAAGGGAGTCATCTCTTTTCCTAGATTTTCTACATTACTCAAAGTTGAAAAGAAGTGGAATGTATGAGAATACTTTTTTGGGTTTTTTACACATAGCATCTAAAGCAAGGGGAGAGAGGGATGCATGTATCAGAGTAATGTTGCATTCCTTTCTGACAGTTTTGGTTATAGGCTTGAGTCCTGAAAGTGAGGCTGGGGATGGAACCCAGCACCTTGCATATGTTAGGCATGCACTCTGCCAGTAGACTACATCCCCAGCCCTTGTTCTTCAAATTTATAGTGCAAAATCTTATCTTTATATACTTCCCAGAGGTTTGGCTTCTTGGGGATTATTTTATGCTAAGCAGAGTCACACTTGGTAACGTAGATGATCTCTTGTTGTTAGCACTGAAAGTTCTGTGCTCTGAAAAACCCTCTGTCCTCAAGCCCAGGGGCTGGAAGCCCCTTACCATTTTGCAGTAGGAGAGGTGGGAAAATGGGTTCTCACTGCTGCTGTGTTCTTCTCTGGGTATAGCTGGGAAGGAGCCCTCAGCCCCTGCAGTACAACCCAGGAGGAAGAATGTTGCTATTTCTCAAGTGTGCCCAGATATTACTTTTCTCATGACCTATTGCTGCATAATGAATGCCTGCAACATTAACAGCTTGAAACAGTATGACTTAATATGTTTCTTTGTTTCTGAGGGTCAGGGAGTTGGGAAAGACTCAGCTAGCAGTTCTAGCTCCCTCAGTACCATAGTGGCCCTAGCTGACTGACACTTTGTTTTCATATTATCTCAGGGTCTTCATATGGACTCGTTTAGGCTTTCTCCTGGCACAGTGGCCTCTAGGCAGTTGAATGCTTATCTGGCACGTTTGGGTTCCAGATAAAGTGTCTAGCCAACAAGTAAGAAGGTGCCTCAAATGTCATATAGGATATTACTGCACAGCATCATTTTTACCAATGTTGAGTCACAAGATTCAAAGGACAGGACATGGACCCCACTTCTTGTTGGCATCACATTTGAAGAAGAACATGTTGGAATGGAGCAGTTATTTCAGCTATCATTGAAAAATACTATCTGGCACATTACTTTTGCCCCATACAACTGAAAAAATACAGTTTTTCATTAACAAAAGTAGTGAAGTTGTTAAAATATGATTTTCCTCATGGATTTTCATAAAGCAATTTTCATTTTTAATACAAACTAAAAGGCCAGCCTATTTATGTTTCTTGTCTTAAAAATCCCTGGGTCACCATTCTATGATTATTAAAATATATGTATATATGTATACATATGTATATGTGTATATGTAAATGTGCACATGCATACACACACATATATCTTTCCTCTACCACTCCTCTCCCAAAATCCAGCTGATCAAGAGAGATATAAGAGTTTGGGGGTATGTTTGTGTGATGTATTTGTGTGCACACGTGCACCCTGTAGGATGAAAAGAGTTTGGGGAGAAGAAATGGATATTAGTGACACAGGATGATTCGTCTGAAAGGAAGCATCCCCAGCAGGAAAGGACTCTGAAGACACAATGGCTGGAAAGAGAACTAAGGGACAAGGGCAGCGGTAGCTGTTTAGAAGGGGAAGACAGGTCTATTTACAGCATCATTTTAGTATGGTCGTTCGGTTTACAATGTGGACACTAATATTCTGGCCTGGCTCTCTTAGACTTCTTTTCCCATATGGTGCTTACAACCATGAGTTATTCTTCCTGGTAACCTCCAGTCTATCATTCCAGGGTAATGGAAATTGGGCTATGTTAAAAATAAAACAAAAAAACCTAATGCAGTTATTTAGGGAATTCACTGACAGTACCATTTTGGCAATGTTTCAGGAAAGTATAATACAAATCTTAATTTTTAAACTTATTTTATGGAACATTTATGATTTATTTTGTTTTAAGCTCATTATATAGTCTATTAAAACATTTTAAAAACAATGTAGCAGAAAGCTTGTAATTCCGAGCCACTACTTGTTTAAAAAGACAATTTCTGTGTTTGGATTGTAGGAATATTGTAATACGATCCAGCTAGATTCTGGAATAGATTACCGGAAAAGAGAACTCCCGGCTGCAGGAAAACTCTACTACCTGTAAGGTGTTTTTTGTTTGTTTGTTTTGTTTGTATGGATGTGTGTTGTGTGTGTGTGTGTGTGTGTGTGTGTGTGTGTGCTTAGTTTAATTTTCCAAGTTTAGAATCTAATAACTTATCAGGAGAAGATAAGGAAAATAAGCATTTTAAATATTAGAACCTGACAGAGTAGTGCTGAATCTCATGATTTTTAAACAACATGTTATTCTTTAAACTGAGATTTTGCCATCCGTATTTGCATCATTTATAATGTGTGATTGAGTGAAAACCTAATTAGTTTTGCGGGGAGGAGAGATGACAGATGGCTAGAAAGTAATGAGTATCCTCTTAGAAGAGGCTGTGATATTAAGAAAATATCTTTAACTTGCTAAAGTAATTAATTATTTGTGAATATCATCTAACAAGTATGCCATTTCCATTCCCCCAAAATTGTTGTTTTATTTTGTCAGACAATCTGTTTGTATTTATCATTGTTGATTGACTTCCATACATAAATGATATAAAATATATACTGTATGCAAATACAACTAGATATTTTTAAAATTCCTTTAAAAATATGATTCTTCTAAGTTGCAGCCATTTACAGTAATAGAGGTATTTAGCATGTACAATTAATGATGAAAAACAAATGTAGTTTGTTTTAAAATGTCATTTGTGAGAACCTAAAAAGGAAAAAGTGCTTTCCAAGTATAAACTTGTTTAGAATGTGCCAACAGTGTTTGGCACATAGTGGGTTCTCAGTAAATAGATGTAAGGGCTAATGAAAATTTAACTAAAAGGCATATTTCTGGTAATTTAAATTTTGTGACAATGTGCACATGAGAGGATGAAAAAAGTTCTTCTCTGCTACCTTGTAAGTAGAAGTACTTACTGTTTTTGAAGCAGAAATTATCTAGAAAAATTGAATAATCAAAATTGCACTTTACCACTACCAAAGGGACGATTTCAGTTTATTATTCAGATTCAGATGATTATTATAGAAGGTTCTTATCTACCCTTAAGTACTTTGTCTTAAAGTACTTTATAATTTAAAAAAAATTCTTATAGTGCTACTTCTGCTTTTGCTTAGACTATTTCTTCCAGTTTCTGTTATCTTGGTGTTTTTTAGTTGTTTTGTTTTTCTGATATTCACAATCATTCCCTGATTTCTGCTATCTATTTTTTGCTATTCCAGATGCATGGTATTTACAGATTAATTTATTATTCACTTTATTCTTTTTTTCAAAGGTGGTAGTTCTTGTTCCCTGTTTTTCCACAAAGTATATCCTTACATGGGGAGAATGTAAAAATTTTCCTAATGAATAGTTCCTTAAATAAAGATGATAATGTCAGTCTAAATCATGAAATCCATTTCATGATACCAAAAAGGTCTTTGGAATTTCCTCGAAGTGAAAGAGATGCTTTTGCTTACCCTGTGTCGCCCATTGCTCTTTCTGATAAAAAGGAAGATGATGCTGAAACAATGAAATTCAGTTAAGAATTCAGGAAACTAGAAACTACAAAGGTTACCATGAAACTCAGAACAGCTTTCTTTAAAAATACATAAATTATTTACTCCTCGAGAAAGGCATACATTTATGAATATATTCATAAATTTAATATAAAATATTGTGTTCATAAATTTAATATCAAAAGGGCTTGACCATAGTCATAACCAAGATTAGAAAGCTTGGGGGCATACCTCAGTCAGAGGGTAAGGCAGCTGTGCACCCCAGAAGAGACTTAGAAACTAAAATCATCTTAGAAATAAGACAAAATATTAGACACCAAAATGGGGGATGCTAAGGCTGTTCATCCTGTTGTTTCACATGAGCACTTAGTAGACCTACCTTCACAGCAGAGTGAAAGAAAATGTCCTTGTATCATGTTTATAATTCTGATTTTGTTTTCTTTTGGTAGAACTGGGGTTTGAACTTTGTGCTTGCAAAGCAGGCACTCTAACACTAGAGCCACACCTCTAGTTCATTTTTGCTCTGATTAATTTGGAGATTGGAGTTCACAAACTATTTGCTCAGGCTGGCCTTGAACTGCCTTCCTTCTGATCTCATCCTTCCAAGTTGCTAGGATTATAGATATAAGCACCAGTGCCCAACAATATTTCTGATTTAATTGTGTCTTTTTAAATTTGTTTTTATAGGAAACATGTTACTTTTCACCTTGGAATAGATTTTAATGTGCTATGCTTATATTGTTCTGTGAATATATGTGTTTCTCTTTAATATCCTCTGGCCAAATACCTATGTATGTGAGTCTAGACTAGTCTCACGTACAATAAATTGAGAGAATTTAAATTTAGCAAGTTACAAGCCATAGAGAGCTTGAGTGTGAATACCCAAACTTTCATGTAAGTTAAAACACCCTGTGGTTGTCCAATTTTTCATTCTGTGATAACTATGTGGTCACTCCCCAGACAAGCACAGTCAATGTCTTCCTGGTGGCTTGATGGACAGGAATCAGTGAGATAATCACCTGTAGATATGGTTTGACAAAATTCCAACAGCTTTGGACTTTCAATTTGCATCTGGGTAGAGGCTTGAATCATAATTTATTTTCAAACGGCTGGGGTTTGTTGAGAAAATTTAACTGCTCCAGTTCTCCTTGAGGGGTTGTTGATTCTATATAATGAACATGTCTTTCAAACAGGAAACACTAGGGTCCATGGGATGCTCCCAGGCCATTTGCTCTCTGTTTTGTGAAGGTTTCTTGATTTCCTGGGGAGAGAAGTTCAGATCACCCTGGACTCACCCTTGCTTGCTTTGTTTTGCATTCCGCAGTTGAGTAAGTATAGGTTCCTTTTTCTACTAAGACTGTGGAAGTACCTGGGGTGGGCCTGTTTCCTATTTAAATACTATATCTCTACCAAATTCACATACAACCCCCCCACCCTCAGCACAGCAGCCATGGCCTCATAGAAAGATTTTAAACTGAACCAAACAAGACTGGGACAAGCACTGGGCCTGGGGTTTTGTTTTGTTCTACTTAATAATAGGTTTGCCCCTGACTTTTTCATGGATGCCATTAGAAGACACAAGAGACCTGGGTCAGAGACAAGGAAATTTATTAGTCTTGGTACAGACAGCAGCACGAGCATTAGCCTGTGTCAGTTCCTTCCTTGTGCCTGAGTCCCTGGGGTGGGAAGGAGGAGTTTTGCTGAGGGCCCAGGTGATTCCTGAATAGACCTTGAATTGTATCACAGGAGAAGAGCTCTGAGCTTGCAGAACCTACCAATTTATAACCAGAAAGAAGCAAATCTGCTTTTTGTCTTAAGGATGACATTGTCTCATCTCTCAAGGTGCTCACTACAAACACAATTTGGAGAAGTAAAATCATAGCCTTCATCTTGGCAATCTCGCAAGATGTCGTATAGGAGAAAAAATGTCCCATGGAGAACTGTCTTCCCCCGAATAATGGGCATTTACCGTAGACGTTCATCTAAAAGAAGCCAGGCTTGCTCCCTTCAGTTCAGTTGGCTCCCATCCACTGAATCAGTCCACTTATTTTAACAAAATTTCATTTCTGAAGGGCACATCCTTCAGTATCTTAATACTTCAATACCATTTGTCTCAAAACCATTTTAATTTTGACTTATTAGGAATATGTGCATCATCCTGAAAATGATGAAAAAATTAGAACTTTTTAGACACATTCCAAACATTCACTGATTTTTACTTGGCTAATATATACATATATTGAAAGGATTTCAAAAGGAAGTTTCTTCTTAAATACTTTTACCAATGGAAATTTCTTGTTACAAATGCTCTCAGTTTCAACCAGCAAAAACCCTTGTTCCTTCCTATTATTGCTTATACTCTCTTTACAACAAAATTAGAAATAAGGGCAAAATAGTTTCTGCTGGGTATTGGGGGGGGGAGAGGGAGGGGGCGGAGTGGGTGGTAAAAAAAAATGCTCTCAGTTTTCACTTGGGAAACATCTATTCCAAACAAAATAATTTTGGAGACTATACCTTTGAAAACCAGCTTTTAAAAATGTAATAAGTTAGCTGTCAGAAACACATCACTTTGAGATTATAGCTCTGTTTTAGGAGAAAGGTCTCTAAAAACCAAGAATGAAGCTTATATATGCTAAAACATACTTCTCCAGAATAAAGAACATTCTATCTTGCCTATAATATACCTTATAAACATTCTTTGGCTCCCAATTGAGAGAACCCACTCAATGAAAATTATAAACATTTCTTAGATTGATTGTTATATCTTTCCATACCTAAAATTTTGGCAAAGTTCTAGCTTCTGCCTAAAAGTTTTCCACCTCCTAGTTCTGCAGGGTGCTTAGGACATCTTGGGACCATCTCCCCATACCCCATCATTACCATTCCAGTTGTTTCTGTCCCAGGCATTGGAATCTGCAGTGTTGGTCTTACTTTTTCTTACCAATTAGACAATGTTACTTGCCATTTTCTACTTCAGTTCCTACTGACGAATCTTTGAAACATCTGCCAACAGAAGCAACTTGAAAATTGCTCAGTCTACACCATCTCTAGCAATAAAGGAAATGCAAGTTAAAACCACACTAAGATTCCACCTCACCCCTGTTAGAATAGCCATCATTTGCAACACCACCAACAACAGGTGTTGGCAAGGATGCATGGAAAAAGGAACCCTCTTACACTGTTGGTGGGAATGTAAACTAGTACAACCACTCTGGAAAAAAATTTGGAGGCTACTTAAAAAGCTAAACATTGATATACCATTTGATCCAGCAATACCACCAAAAGGCTGTGACACAGGTTACTCCAGAGGCACCTGCACACCCATGTTTTTTTTTTTTTTCATTTTTCTTTTATTATTCATATGTGCATACAAGGCTTGGTTCATTTCTCCCCCCTGCCCCCACCCCCTCCCTTACCACCCACTCCGCCCCCTCCCTCTCCCGCCCCCTCAATACCCAGCAGAAACTATTTTGCCCTTATCTCTAATTTTGTTGTAGAGAGAGTATAAGCAATAATAGGAAGGAACAAGGGGTTTTGCTGGTTGAGATAAGGATAGCTATACAGGGCATTGACTCACATTGATTTCCTGTGCATGGGTGTTACCTTCTAGGTTAATTCTTTTTGATCTAACCTTTTCTCTAGTACCTGTTCCCCTTTTCCTATTGGCCTCAGTTGCTTTAAGGTATCTGCTTTAGTTTCTCTGCGTTAAGGGCAACAAATGCTAGCTAGTTTTTTAGGTGTCTTACCTATCCTCACCCCTCCCTTGTGTGCTCTCGCTTTTATCATGTGCTCATAGTCCAATCCCCTTGTTGTGTTTGCCCTTGATCTAATGTCCACATATGAGGGAGAACATACGATTTTTGGTCTTTTGGGCCAGGCTAACCTCACTCAGAATGATGTTCTCCAATTCCATCCATTTACCAGCGAATGATAACATTTCGTTCTTCTTCATGGCTGCATAAAATTCCATTGTGTATAGATACCACATTTTCTTAATCCATTCGTCAGTGGTGGGGCATCTTGGCTGTTTCC